AGCTGTCCTGGAACTCACTATGTAGACCAGGCTGGCTTTGAACTCGCAGAGATCTGCCTGCCTCTGCCTCCCAAGTGCTGGGACTAAAGGCGTGCGCCACCATGCCCGGCTTAGCTTTTTATTTTTAAGAAAGGCTTACTCTGTAGTTCATGCTGGCCTCAAACTCATGATCTCATGGTGATCCTCCTGCCTCAGCTCCCTAATGCATGAACTACCATGCCTAGCACCATGCTCCATTTACATTTCTAAGCACATTATGTAGTGTGTTCATTCATGTAGTCCTCATAGTAAGCGTCCATGGTAGGATTAAGTATAGCCCAGCTTGCAAACAATGAAGTAAGTTACAAAAAATAAAGGAAGGGCTAGAGAGATGGCTCAGCGGGTAAAGGCACTTGCGACTGAGACTGATGTTCGGAATTCAATCCCTGAGATGTACATGGTGAAAGGTGAAAACCAGCTCCCGTAAACTGTCTTCTGTCCTACACACACACACACACACACACACACACACACACACACAAATAAAATAAATGTAATAAAAATCAAAATTTTTTAAAAAAGTAAAGACTGATCATAACTCAGGGTAGAGTACTTGCCAAGCATATATAAGGCCTGGGGTTCCATATTCAACAACACACAGAAAGAAAAGGAAAGTAAGAAAAAGAAAAGAGCGGGGTATGGTGGTGCACGCCTTTAATCCCAGCACTTGGGAGGCAGAGACAGGTGGATCTCTGTGAGTTCAAGGCCAGCCTGGTCTACATAGTGAGTTCCAGGACAGCTGGGGCTACAGGGAGACCCTGTCTCAAAAAAGACAAAAAAAGAAAAAGAAAAGAATTAGCTGTGTGTGGTTGTGCACACCTTTAATCCTGGCACTTGGAAGGCAGAGGCAGGTGGATCTCTGTGAGCTTGAGGCCAGCCTGGTCTCCATAGCGAATCCAGGTCAGCTAGGGCTACAGGGAAACCCTGTCTCAAAAAAATAAATAAATAACAAAAAAAAAAAAGGAAAGAAAGAAAGAAAGAAAAGAAAAGAAAAAAAAAAGAATTTGTCCAAAGTCTCTAAGTCAGGACTCCTTGGAGGTTACTGGTTCTCAGTCACTCTCTTTCTGTAGTGCCTGCCCACCTGTGTGACTTGGGAGACCTGCAGCTCTGGGAAGGCAGAGGGGGCTGGCTCATAACTAACCCTTGGTGCTGATGCCCCGGAGGTCGGTGATTTTCATAAGCATCCTTGGGAACATGTAGGGCTGGCTGGGCCTCCGTCGTCGGGCGTAGAGCCTCAGGGCTTCCAGCAGCGGCTCCTGCAGCTTGTCTACCTTCTCAGGTTCCTCCAGGTCCATGCGGTCTGTGCAAGCACAGCAGAGTGAAGGAGGAGACAGACAGGTAGCTGACCCCTGCCAGCTCCTGTCCTGAGGCCTCTAAGCCATAGGTTGTCCTACTGACCACTTCACTATCATCCCTGAGCCCTTCATATTATCCCCCTTGATCTAGGCTCTGTACCTTCTCACGCTCAGCAAGGACCTTTCTTTGGTACATCACTCTTGCTAGATCCCTACCTTAGCACCTTAGCTAGGACCTCCTCAGCTCCCTGGACTCTGCCTTCTTCTGCCCTTAGCTCTGGCAGCCAGCAAGGCTATATGTGATCTGGGACGTTTGTAGGTTAGGACCAACAGCAATAGTCCCAAGGGAAGAAACCACCACAGTCTTCCACTTGGTCTAAGAACAGGTGTGGAGTATGGTAGAAAAGGGAGCCATGAAAACACCAGGGGGCGCCCCCGCACCTCCACAGATGAGGCAGATGGCACTGAGCAACCCTGTTTCTGTGTCATCCATTTCCAGGGGCAGGAGCTGCCCAGCAAAGGCAAAGACGAGATCTGTGAGGGGCCCGAAGCCAGCATTGTGCATCTGGGTCCGGTTCAGGGTCAGCCCGTCCGAGAATGTCATGGTGTCCTGCTCTGGGGTATACCTTGTACAGATCCGCAGCATCTAGAGGTGGGGTAAGGATGAGGGTTAGTGATGTCCCTGGGTAAGGGTTTCTAAGTAAGCTTGGTCCCTAGTAAGTGCAACCAAAACCTGCGGAAGGAAAGCAAAAAAGGTGGAGCCCTGAGATTGGGGGGGCGGGGGATAGGGAAACCTGGAGGCAAAAGCTAATACATAAAAGCTTACCTAAAGGAGGTGGCTACAGGGTGTGGTGGGGTAGATAAGGGTTAGATTGGGCCAGGACCCATAGACCTAACTTACTAGGATGTCCAGGCAAGCAGCCTTGAGCAGAGTGATCTGATCAGCAATGCTGAGTCCTGTAAAACCAGGCAATCGCTTGGCAAACTCCACAATCTTGATGATGCACTTAGTGGCCAGCTCACTGAACTTGTCCCATAGTCCCAGGTCCAGCTGCACCCGGTGATCTGCACTGGAATTCTGCAAGGAGAAGAAAGAGGCTAGAATGTGAAGGCTACCCTGGAAGCTGTCTCCTCTGCCAGTTCTCCAAGCCCTGCCCACTGCAAACTGCTGCTCTCCCTTGTCCTCAGTACCAGGTCCCACAGCCCTGCCCATTCCTGAGGCACACAGTGCCCTCACCCAGACTCTGCCCAGTCCTCACCGTAGTGTACTTGCCCAGCTGGCAGAGGGAGGGAAAGGTCTCCTGGTGGGCTTTGCTGACTTTGGTGATGAGTTCTTCTAACTGTGGACTCAGTTCATAGTTGTCAGGTGAACCCTCTTCCTTAACCTCCTTTTTTTTTTTGTTCCGGTCATTCCTTACAGCTTAGGGGTGGAGGCAAAGGAGAGGATCAGGACCTTAAAAGTCTCCCTTTAGATCTCTCTCACCCTAGCTTCATGTGTTCAGTCCTCACTACAAGTATTGTCTGTTCTCTAATACCTTAGTTAGTGCCTTAGTTTCCCTATCTACTGTATTAGCTTCTATTTCCAGGCTGTCTTGACCCAGCCCCACCCAGGGCCTGCAGAGTACTCCCTCCCTAGGCCATTTGACTCCATCCTGCCCTTCCGGTTGCCCTGCAGGAGCTGGGGAGAGGGGGCAGGATATGCAGGCAGGATATCCACTTATAGCCTTGGCAGCACAATGGGGGGGGGTGGAAAGGAGGGGCCAACCCAGAGCCCTCTCAGGATGGGTCTAGGGAACAGAGCAGGAGGGAACTGTCTATCTCACCCCCCCACCACCCCCTGCCCCATCAAACAGAAAGAACCCTGGGGGCTGGAGAGATGGCCAGTGGTTAAGTGCACTGACTGCTCTTGCAGAGGACCGGGGTTCGATTCCCAGCACCCACATGGCAGCTATGAACTGTCCTTAATTCCAGTTCTGGGAGAATCTAATACCCTTTTCTGACCTCCATGGCATTAGGGTGTACTCACATACATGCAGGCAATACACTCATACACATTAAATAAATAAGTAAATAAATAAATACATAAAAAAGAAACCTTAGTGCCCAGGTACTCATTCAGAAGAATGATCAAGAGAGGAGAGAAGGGGAAAGGGTGTGGTCTCCAGGGTGAATGGAACTAATCAAATAGGACTGGTCTGGGAGGAGACAGCAGCTTCAGGGTAGGCTAGGTCAGGGAGGTGGGCACAGTAATAGTGAAGAAAGGCAGCCACAGGATAGGAAAGGAGTAGAGGAGTGCTCCTGCCCGGCCACCGTAGGGAGCCTACCTTCCTTGGACATGCCCACTTCGAAGCACTTTTGTAGCCGGCAGTACTGACAACGATTCCTGGTTACCTTGTTTATGATACAGTTTTTGTCACGGTGACACGTATATACCATGTTCTTCTGGATACTGCGTCGGAAGAAGCCCTGAATTTGGGGGCAGGAGGAGTGTCACTGAAGCAGGATGCCAGGAACACCAGTATCTCTCAGGCCGTACAGGTAGCCTCAGGCTTCATTCAATCTTTTTTTTTTTAATATTTATTTTATTTTATGTGCATATGTGTGGGCATGAGTATATGTATGTGTACCACATATGTGTATGTGCCTGAGGAGGCCAGAAGAAAGTGTCATATTCCTTGGAACAGAAGTTATAGGTAGTTGTGAGTTGCATGATGTGGGTGCTGGAAGTGAACCCAGTTTCTGTGTAAGAGTAGCAAGTCCTGTTAAACACTGAGCCATCTCTCCTGCTCCTTAATCTGTTTTGCTGTTGTTCTTTTTTGTTTGTTTGGATTTGATCAGCCTGCCTTTGACTCCCAAATGCTAGGACTCAAGGCCTGCACTACCATGCTCAGCCTGTTTGATTGTTTTTATTATTATTTTGAACTGGAGATTGATTGAACCCAGGGTTTTGTGCATGCTAAGCAAACATTCTACCACTGAGCTAAATCTCTAGCCCAACCCAATCTTAGCCACTTATGCACAAAGCAGTCCCTCATGCCCACAAGAAAAAAAACTGTGCAAAACTCATGTGAATATAGCATCTGAATCCCCCATCTCTTTTAAAAAAATTATTATCTTTACTCATTTTCATTTTCTGTGTGTGTGTGCATGAGCATGTGTGTGTGTGCATAAGCATGTGTGTGTGTGCCATGGCATGCATGTAGCAGTCAGACAACTTTCAGGATCTGGTTCTCTCCTTCTACCCTGTGGGCCTGGGGATTGAACTGAGGTCCTCAGGCTTGGCATCAAGCACCTTTATACATTAAACCATTCTACAGCACCCCCCTTTTTTATATAGGGGGTGTCTCATGGAGTCCAGGTTGGACTTGTTTATGTGTTGCTGGAAATTGAACCCAGGGCTCATGAATGTTAGCAAGCGCTCTAACAACTGAGCGACATCCCTGGCCCTGTGTCCTCCACCTCTGATCTTACCCCAGATAATTAACTCTAGGCCCTTAACCCACCCTTCCCACCATATACACACCTTGCAGCCTTCACATGAGCTGACCCCATAGTGGTAGCCAGAGGATTTGTCATTACACACAAAGCATGGCTTGTAGACCCGAGGGGGTGGTGGGGGTGAGGGCGAGCTGGGCACCATTTCCTCTGAGCTAGTGCTCTGTGTCTCCACCGCTAGGGGGAAAGCAGTGAGAGGGTCAGAGAAGGCATCTTCACCCCATGTCCCCAGGCCCACCTCTCTCTGGACCTGCTGGTAACAGCTATCATCACTGCTGTGCATGAGCCCTCAGCAAGCACTTCCAGAAAGCTGAAGAAGCCACTGTCATTGTTGGGATTTCAGGCACTCCACAGTCTGGCCAACTCTTCTATATTAATACTCAATTCTCCAAATTCCAGCCCCAGGCCACCCTAGAAGTAAACTTCCTTGGGTCTGTTTCCTCAACCACAAAGTACAGAGGTAGAAAGAAGGGTTAGGGCTCTCTCTGCACTCTGAGATAACCTCACTCCCTGGCACTCTAGTAGACCCTGTCAGGTAGTTCTCATCCCACCATCTTCAGCCTCCGATCACCCTCAGTCTCTGGGAGCAAAGGGGCAGATGTGGGGACAAATAAAGCAATTACGGGCCACTTGAAACTGGCACCTGCTTGAATATTCAGTAATAGAAGAGAACTTTATTTCCCTCAAGCAGTATGGGATAGATAATCTTCCATCCTGTCCCTCTCATGTGGCCTCTCAAACAACTCTCAAAAGTCCTTTTCTCCAGAACTGTCATTGAAGCAATGGAGCCCATGCTGGGGAGGACACACAGGGCATGTATTAAGAAAATAAATTAGGAGACCGGCAACAGCTTTAATTCACTCCTGAAAGAACAGTGGCAATGAGGGGACGTTTAACAGCTGAGTGACTACTCAGTGCCACACTGCCAGTTGACGTGGAGACAAGGCTCTCTGAGCCTCTGGCCAGACCTAAGTGGTCTTACTTGAGAGAAGCTGGAGAAGACAGATATTTGCTCGGATCCTCAGGTCTAGGAGCAATTGAAGGTGTAGCAAACCAGAGTCAGGTGTCTTTGGGTAAACACAACTGAGGGGGGAGGGGAACAATCCCAGACCCTCTGAGCCAATCTTCTTCACTCCTGAAGAGCCTCAGGAAACAGCAATTGCAGCTCACAAGGGGTCTCAGCCTAAGTCCATAGTAGGGGGAGGCCATACTGTACAGGGGGCTGCTGAGTACATGCTATACTCATCTTCAAAGGCTCAGGACCTGCAGGACCTGTTGCCCAAATATGGTGGGCCCAAGTGATTTAAGAAATCCTGAAGACCCTCCCTGAGGAACACCCCTCAAACCCATCTCCTGTACCCTTTCTTCCTTCAACCAAATGCAGCCCACCTGGTCACAATTCCATCCAACCCAAGGCAGAATAGCCAGCCCAGAGGTTGGGGTTCCAGGCCAGCTCCACCCACTGCACCGGGAGGGAAGCCCTCCCGACTCCCACCCCCAACACTTAATTAACATAAGAATCCTGCTGGAGAGAGATTCCCCAATGAAAGCAGGGAGAAAAGAAGGGTGCTGGGAGTCTATTCAAGAATGGGGGCGGGCGAGATCCAGGAGTGGTTGGTGTTGAAAGATGTGGGAAGGGCTGGAATGTCTTTCAGGTCTTCACTGTTCCAGCCCATCCTGAGGCCCCCAGAGCCTGAGTCCGGCCCACAAGGCCTGTGCCCGTAGGGTGGTGCTCTCTTCTGTGCTGACGCCCTCCCTGCCCGCAGAGCGCTGCCTCATTTCCTCATTTCCTCTCTTGCGCAAGGGCCTGGGTGCGGTCAGACTGGCATGGGGCAGCACCAGCCAATTATAAGACTGGGGGCCTCAGAGAGCCTGCCTTTGGGCAGCTTTTCCCGTCTTAGTGGCACTGTCACCCATTCTTGACACCCCTCTGGCACACCTCCGCCCCCTGAACCCTAAAGTGCAATCCAATGGCTCTGACTGAGGTCACTGTGGGAGGAGGACACTGGAAAGCTAACCAGGACTTCTGGGATGGATACTGACCCCTCTAGAGCCAAAGCGGAGACCTCTCCTCTGGGATGCATCTTCTGGCTAGGCAGGGGCCCCTGCTGAGGAGGAGGGGGTGGACTCTGGGGTTTTCTCTTTTAAAGCCCAAATTGCTGAAATTGAGGAAATTCCTGGCTAGGCTGAGCGGAGCTTCAAACAAACTCTTTATAACCGGCTGTAAACGCTCCCAGCTGCGAGGCCCAGAGCTGAGCTGCCTGGATTCACAGTCCAACACACACCTCCTTGAAGACACACACTTTCACAGGCCAACACCAAAGTGGTCACAAAAGCAGACATACTAACAGTGGGCTCCTTAGCCTGGGCCAGACCTTGGAACAGAGGAACTCATACACATTAAGCCACACCCACACCAGCCTTACCCTGAAGGTGGATGACAAGTCACAAAGCTGACATCCAACACGGAGCTACACATTTACAAGCGAACAGCTCTACCACCAAACACCAGTGTGCCAGCACAGCACAAGGACACCAAGCCTCCAAGTGTCACAAACATACCATCCAGCTCTATTATAAATCACTTTCCTTCTGAGAGTGTGTGTGGGGGGGGACCTTTGTGTGCCCACCAGGACCCTACTAGCCAAAATTATTGGTCGAAACTAAAATGCAAAACCACCCGAGGGGTCTCTAGGAGTCTAAATAAGAACCCGGTCTGGCTCAGCAACCACTCTCCCCGAAATCCCCCAGGAACATTATCTACACTCACAATCCCACCAATTTCCCAATTCCCCCCATTATACTGAGAATATGAAGGTTAAGAATTCACAGGAATTTGGTGCAAAGCATTAGTTCCATGTTTTCTCCACCCTTTAAATGGCACACTTCAATTCTTATCCCACCCCACCCTAAAGTACAGTCTCCAGTTTGCCACCTCCCTCTTCCAGTCTCTCAGTTGTTAAATCTGAGCAGCTCTGCCCTGGAACTAAAAAAAAAAAAAAAAAAATCTGAACTTGTAAACAGCGCTGCCGAGTGCCAAGGAGCGAGGCGCGTTGGCGGGGGCTCAGTGACCCGGCGTGCGCACTCCCCCAGCGCCAGCCGCCCCGCCTGCTGCCCGCCCCTTCACAGCGTGCCCCCAAGCCTGGGTCAGCAGCCACCCGCACCAGAGCTGCGAGAGCAGTGCCATTCTTCAGTAAATTTGGAGGAGGTATTCCAGGCTTCGGCCTCGGCCCTTTCCCATAGCCCACCCCCTCCAGGCACCGTGGCCCGGGCTTCAAAGCCGCTTCTCCTCCGGACTTTATTTTTACTGCCTCTCAGTCCCCAGCTTTTTATTACCGCCCTGAAAGGGGTTCCAGGGCCCCAAACCTGGCATCTCCCATTACGCGGAGGGGAAAGATAGGTATTTAGGAACCCTATGGTTATGGTTGTTCTCCTAGGGCCGCTGTCACTTCCAGGCCACCCCCACACTACCACACAGACTTAGCTTTAAACTTTTTGCTTCTTGCTGAAGTTATGTGTTGAGGCCATAGAAAAGTCATCTCTCGAAGACAACCGAATACACATATCCAAATAGATTTTTTAAAATGAGGGTGGATGCAGAGGTCAGCCTCCTTCTTCAGTGCATACCCCCTGCACCCCGCTAGCAGAGCACACAGGATGCACTCTGGAACTCAGCACTTTCCAAAACCGCCCCCGCAGCCACGCAGGGCACACGCCCTCCCGTCCACAAACATCTCCACACCGGGCCATGCAGATCTGCCAACAGAGGTGGAAGGTGACAGTGGGTGCCGAGACCCCTACTCCACACTCACACCATCTAGGCAAGGTGCTGCACACGCCAGGGATTCACACGTTCTGCAAATAATTCTTTACACTCCCAACTTCCCACACGGACTTTACAAACGCCACCCCACGGTCCGGAGTATCACATCCCCAAGGGCCTGAGGACACAAACTAGCAATACGCATCGGTCTCTCCCTATCCCCAGGAACGCTGGAGTGGCATCTACCAGTGTCCCTAGCTAAACACCCACCATAAAAACCACATATACTCCAAACACTAGCGCACACACGCAAAGGAGATGGACGCTGAGGCCCTCATGTTTAAAGGGCCAGCACCTCGCATAAAAAGGACCAGAATGCCAGCTTGCACCCCTGTTCCAAACTTTGCCCATGGAAATAGTAAGCAACAGCCTCTCGTGCACCCAATATCCCATCCCCCGGGCTCGAATACCTACATTGAAGACTGGCGGGTTGCGCCCAGGCGAAAGACTCCAGTCCAGCCAAGCAGGAGCCGCCAGTGGCTCTGCGCAGCAAGCCCGCCCCGGGCCCGGCCGCCCCATACAGCCGTTGCGGACCCGGGGCAAACGATTCCATGCAGTCGTACATTGTGACCCGGCTCGGAGAGAAACTGGGTGCTAGAATACCAAGGACTCGCAACCCATTCCCCCTCCTCCCCCCGCGGCGCCCCGCTCCCGGAGGGGGGGAGGGGGGGGCTAGCATAGGGCGCTGAGCCGCATGGGGGGTAAAGGGTGGGCGGGGAAGAGGGGTATCCCCCAGCAAGGGAAAGGGAACCGGCGGGGCGCGAAGCCTGGGCTGCAGCCTCAGCCTCAGCCAGGCTCACTCTGGGCGCCTGGGCAGCAAGCAATGGGGAGACCTTTTGTAAAAGCAGAGCCAGGAGGGGTGGGGGTGGGGCTTGAAGAGCGAAGGGGGCCGGGCACCGAGATGAGCAGAGCTGGGAGTGGAGCGCTTACACATACACATACGTCCACTCGTTGCGCGGCGCACGCGCTAGCTTAGACATACATCCGTGCATGCATTTATCTTGGCAGGCACCACGAATTTGCAAATATGCAACAGTGCACATGCATGCAGGCACGGACATAAACTCATAGGTGCATACGTCTGTGCAAATACACCTGGCGCAGGAAAATGCTTGTTCTCCACAGCCCGGAGGTTTTGCACGCATTGCACTTAGGCGCGTCCCCAGCTCGGGGTTGGGGATAGGAGTGGAGGAACTAAATACGCATTTCCTTTCATAGAGTTTCCCCCCACCTCTCCTCATCCCTCCTTTGATATACAAGTCAACACAGGCAAGGGTGTTAAGGTTGACTGGGTAGAGGGGAACGTTGATGTCCCGGGCGCAACGCAGCTCTCCGGAGCAGGAGGACCTGCGCC